TTCAGACACACTACTGGGACTAGGTTATAACTTCAAACATTGCAAGAAATAAGACAAAGCTTCACATATGCTACCAGAACTAATCAAAACAACTATCTTCTTCTCTGTGTATAAATTTCTTAGTTATAAATAAGAGTACTGAAGGAACTTGTGTTTCTCTATAATACGTTCTTTTGTTGCCTGCAATTTTTGGACAATTCTTAGAGTTAAAAGTTTAATAACTAAACATTACAGAAATAGAACGAGAACAATGCTAAGCTATGGGAGCTGTTGCTTTAATACATTCCATGAATCAAAAAGATCAATTCATTCTGTTTTGTAGCTCAGGTAAGTGGGGTGAACTTTGTATTCTATAATATCAAAAAATAAAAATTAGTAGAAAATAGACAGTATCAATTAATGAAAAAACATAACACACACCAAAACAAGACACAAAAATAAACTGAATATGAACACCTTTGCTATTTTGGCAGCAGCTTCCAATTTTTCTTGAGCTGACTGGTACCATGACACCCGTTCCCCCATCTTCTGCTGGTCCTCAGCTTGGTTACCCATATATAAATGTGATATACAAGCATAATAGGCCATCTTGAATTCAAGAAACTTCTTCCATGTCTGTTAGAAGTGAAAACAAGTCCAAGCTCTCATATAAAATATTCTATTTATCTATTTAGAGCATATGTAAATATATATTTATTTAAACACAGACACACACAAATATAATTTTCTTCAAATCTAATATTTTAATTGACCAAAGATATCAAATGGAAGTGGGGATTTATGGCATTAATGATCATAACACTAGAGTTATTATCCATTATTGAATTTTGATTTAATATTGTTTTTCATTATGCCAATTAGAACATATCTAAAGAAACAAAATACCCGTGTCTTTTTATGTATATTATTTTCCCCAAAGTTACGCCTTTTATATACTGACAACTGGTATAACTAAACGATTTAAATTTCTATCTGTGCAATTTTACTTTACCTGATTCTGTGGTATAATTTTATAACTTAAAATATCATACTTGAAAGAAATAAACTATTATTGTTATTATTATTATGTAATGTTGACATTTTGCCATAAAACAAATGATACAGTTAAGTTTATCTTATAACTGCAAATAAATGAAATTAAGTATCATAGTTTGAACTCAACACACTTATTAGGTCTAACAGCTGCAAAAAAAAAAATATAAAAGAATCAAACTCATGTCAAGTAGCCTCTATTTATTTAATTAGGGAAAAAATAAACTCTAAAGATTCTTCAACAAACTAATACTTATTTTTAAGTTACAAAAGTTAAAATGATGTAAGCCCTTCTTACTCTAGCATACAACATAAAATTATACAACAAAACTAATGTATACAAGGACTTAAGTGATCAGTTTGATCTAGAAAAAGGTTATTAGGTTTCACTAGTAGCAAAAATTGTCCTTTAGTCTTCTCCATAAATGCATACATTAGTGAGTTAGCTAAACCTTAACATTTTAATTTAAAATTAAAAACAAAAAAACATGTACAGCAATAGTGGGAGTTAGAACAAGTCTATTTGATAAACATAACAGACATATTTCATGTAACTTGCAACTAGGGGTCTTTCTAAGCCTTAGAAATGGTTTTGTCAGAAAAGGGAAATGGAAATCTTGTTGATCTATTCATTTACACTAACAGAAATGCTGCTCTATGAGCAGCTGTTTGTAATAGTAATTATCAATCATTGTATTAAACTGTAATGTTTTTATATATTAAAAGTGGTACTGTTTATTGAAAAAAATTTTTTTTTAAGAACTCCTGTTTCTCAGTAAAATTTACATCAATAAAGATATAATCAAATTCTCACATACAGTCCTAGTGAAAGTCGTGTTCTTGTTGTGAGGAAAGTATTTTTACTTAAAATTGTGTTCTATTAAAAATAAATTGTTGTTGCACATACTGCAGTTATTTTTCTAATTCTCTGAATCTGTAAATACCAAAAGTGTGAATTTTTTTATGGATTTTGTTTGTGATGCCATTCAATAGATGGTGCAGGAGTTTTGGTTACATACATAAATATTTACAGACACATTACATCCATTATAGTAAGATTAGTATTTAGATGTACAGCATCTTATTACTTAACCCTCTCACTATAGGCTTGGACAGTTCGACTGAGTTCAAAACCACAAAGTGACCATCAAAGTTTTCATACTATAATTTTTAACACGTGTTGTGTATCTTCACAAAATTTTAAGATTTTAGTAAACATTACAAGTCTTTTCTAGACACAAAATCCAATTTTTAATTAAGTATTCTTACTAAAAATTAGTCCATGAATACATGAAGTTAAAGTGCTGACGGTTCCAAATGCAAAGTGATTTTCATGTTAAGATTAAAAATACTTTTCTTCATTTGCAAATTTTCAAATTTCATTTGCTTACCCTCTAAAACATCTAACTTTACATTTTATCTGTTATCTTCTCTACCCTAACTCTAAAAGTCGATTTGACAGACTTTATAACTGTCACAATAAACAAGGAAATAAATCTAAATTATCCTTTTTTCTTTATAGGATGACTGAAAATTGTAACAGGAAACCACAACTGTTTATCCTAAATAGCTTAAAGTTTATAACACTATACATCTGTTTATACTTTATTTTATTGTTTTATTGCCCTTTGAACCATGTCTAACTAATAATCCCAAAAAAAGATGTAAATCACTTGATAAATGTGCAGCTCACATTACTGTATCAAATTATGTAATGCATGGAGCATACCTTGTGAAGAATTTTTATTATTTTTTTATCATCTTACCTAATCTAACACAAGTTTCCAATCTTTGCATTTTAGTTACTTTTATAATAATAAGTAAAGAATACACAAAATAAACAAGAAACATAGTGCTTACCTGGGTTTGTTTTTTTGCTGTTGATTGTCAATTAGGCTTAAGCCTACTTTTTATATTAATGATATTACTAAACTAAATTTTTCTTAAATTAAGTAATGCACTTAAAAACACAGTTTAATAATACATACAAACCAAATAATGTTCTATAATTATCATATTCATTCTCCCTTTTTAAATATACAATAAGAGCCTTTGAAAATTCAGTTAAACTTGATGATGTGATTTCTGTGTGCAAAAAGTTTTAAACCGAAGGCAAAATAGACATTTCTCTGTACAGAAAACAATGTAACAATTATAAAACGTCAGAAAGAGCTATTGGCAATTTGTGAGAGAGGATGTAACAGGTGGATGTGGCAAGTGGGTCTGATTTTCTAGTTTATGGTTCTGTCAATAATGAGATTGAAGGCCATAACAAATATGCTTTCCCTGAGTAATATCTATATTATAATGAGTATTTATGTCAAATTCCATATTCTGGGAGGGATGGTAAATAGATTAGAGAAGAGGGAAGACCTAGAGAGCAAATGCCACAATTCTCATACTAAGATAGATTGAGGATTGTTTTAAATATTTCCTTATACAATTAAGAAATTAAAACTTATATAATATTAAAACTTGATTTATTAACCATGGTTTGAAGCCATGTTTATTTGTGTACCATGATAATACAGTAATTTTAAATGTAACTAAAAACTTGTGACATGCACATTTTGTTCTGCCAGTAGCAAGAAGGTTAGGATGATCACAATTTTACTTGTTTCTAGAGAGCCTTTGCTTTTCTTAAATTTACTCCTTCTTATCAAAATGTTCATTTGAATTTATTATAACTTAATCCTATGAACTCAGCTAGGTCAAAATGTGCATATCATGACCTTTTACAGTTACATTCAATATTTATCAACTCTATTACCAATGTATCTTAATAAACATGGCATCAAAACATAAGTTATAATTCAAATTTTTGTATTATCTAAGGTTTAATCTCTTAATTCCAACAGAAAATATCCAAACAAATTCTCAATCTTCCCTTCTCCGGGTCATGTGACATAGTTTGCTTCAAATTCTCCCTTATAACTTGTTTTTTCTCTGTTGTGGGTTTCGGAGTATCCAACCAGTTAGAAACACAAATTATATATATTTACAAGTCATAATATAAAATATGAACCCCCCATCTTCTTGATTTGCTGTGATATAATGTATTTGTTAAACTCACCAGCTTTTGAAACATTTACCTAAACCATATGGTCTAATATGATAAACATGTTTATAGTCAACAGAAAAGCATTTGTTCCTTTATAGTTATTTTTTATGACAAGCATAGTAGACAGTTGGCCATAGACTTAATTGTCAGTGATCATTGTTGGTAAGCTCTGGAAAGCTAACCTATTTATAGCATAGTCAGAAACCCAGTTAAATTACAGTAGCATCAGGACATGCTATTTAAACAGCCAACTTACCGAGAAAAAAAGTGGGTCTAGTATACCAAGGTATCAATGGCAAAAAACGTGAATCCCTACGCAAGTGCAAAATTTCTTGTTTTTTTATATATTTATTTATTACTATATATTTTTAACTAAAGTAACCAAATGTTAAAATGAGAAACTTCTTATACTAGATAAGAAACTCTTAAATTGAGTCGATCAAAACTCAATATTATGGTATGTGCATGTCCGTAATCTGATGTTTATTGACATTTATGCTCTACCGGAAATATCCCACTGTAATTTATTACTTTTCACACAGAGAGAGGATCAAAAATAACAATAAAGGCAATCAAATTAAAGGAAAGCAAATGAGAAAAGATTACAAGTTTGGGCTGCTAGGATAAATAATTGTAATTCTCTGTTACAGTTTGCAGTCATTAATAATAAAATAGGGATTATTATTTTTATTTCACATTTTTCTACTCTTCACATCATTGTACATTGATTATTTTGCTACACTTAAGTGTAGAGAAATTAACAGATAAATTATAAAGTTTTGTGAAAAAAAAAACTTTGGCATTCATTTAGGAGGTTCTAGAGGTTATGCAAATGAACTGTGAAGACTGCAAAATGAAAAGAAGTATTTTTATTCTCAGCACATATGATATTCTCACCTCACACTCAGTCAGATAGACTCAGTAAAGGCTTTATATATTCAGTGGAAAATCTTTTTAATAATAGAAATACTTTAATAACCCTCTAACAACGACTTGCTTCAAAATGAAGTACGTTATGTAACTCTAGAAATTTCATTCCAGTAATAAAACCAACGGATGAAATTGTTTAAATCTTGACAAAAACATTCATAAAATTATGTAGCTTGAGAAAAATAAAATATTTCATTTTGGTTTATTAAATTCACTATTTAATGTACTTATTTACACTCAGACTCTGAATAGTTCAGTTGCAAGTTGATTTTCATTTTGAGTATAAAAATACTATTTATTATCTTACAGTTTCACATTTCACTTGCATAATGTCTAGAACCTGCTAAATGAATATCAAAGTTCTTTAAGGTAAATGTTTATATTTAATTTTCCATTTTCTCTACCATATTGCTAATCAATGTACAGTGCAATGAAATGCTTAGAAATATATACATACCTTTTAACTCTTCTTTGAATTATCTTAAAATATCTTCTTTGGATTAAGTGTAATTTCACATCTTTACCTCTTCACTTATAGTTTATTTTTAATGTTATATTTTGCTTTCCTGTTCTTTATCTTTGATTATTTATGTTGACACACATCAACAGGTGCCCATGGGCAATATAACATTAACATCGGCAAAGATGGTTTAGTATCTGGCAAAATCTTGTTTGTACTCGTAACTTTGTGAACAATTGTTTAGCAAGGCAAAGCGTAGAATAAATTTATCAAATCATTATACCTTTCAACTATGAACTTTAAAATGCAAATAATACATATTTAACTAAAATATAAAGTAAAACCAAAATGCAATTTAACTGTCTATCAAACTAATATGTACAAGGCGAGAAGACACTGCTCTCAACAATGGACTAAAATTCCTTTCAACTTCTTTAGTAAAATGCATACATTGACTAGCTTTCCTGTCCTCCTTAGAGGATATAGCATGAAATCTGCTCCTGTTGGTTATAAGCATGCCATTCAAGTTAAAACTTAATTATCAACACAGCTTCTACTTTGCAAGTGGGCATGCTTTATCTTGAAACGAGGAACTTTTACAACGGTTTACTGTTAAACAACCTATATACTGTCCTTTGAACATCTTCACAGAATCCTCTACATTATACACACAGTTTCTTCTATACGAGCTCTTAAAGTTGAGATCTTTGTAACTGTGAGTGCATAATGTGATAAGAAAACTTAAGTTTTAAATAATATTTTAGAGGCTTCTTTTGAAACAAAGGAATAAAAATTTAGATAATATAAAACTTTGAATTATAACATACTTGATATTAATAATTTCATTAAAATAAATTGACAATAAATTGATTCTTTGCATATAGTATACAAAAACATTAACTTCCGACTTCAACGTAACTTTAGGTATCACACACAACTCAATTTTCTCTCTACAAGTTTCATCCATGAGTTTGGAAATTTGGTTTCACTGTGAAAGAAAATATCTAGATTTGACTAATAATGGCAGAAACATCACAGAGAATATCAAGTAAATACCTGGTGAACAAGACTGCATACCTTGAATGTCTTTCCTCCAACTATATCAAGAATGCAACCAGGCTCCATGTTAGAACCCCCAGCCATCAGGTTGCCCATGGAAATTTTGTAATATTCCACAACCTGTGCTGCAACCTTAGCAGTAATTGAAGATTTTCTACTGTCTAGCATGGACTTCTCTAAAATACATTCCTGGGCTTGAGCCTGTAAGTAAGTTATAGTTATGCCTATTGTAGAAATGTACAACTTTGTAATTATATTTCCATAAATATTCAGTTGTTTTTTTAAGTGAACGTAGACAATGATTGCTAACATATTAAGATTTAATCATTTTTTCTTTTTGTGTGTGTAGGTAATGATATTTTTCTTAATATGAAATGATGACTCAGTTTTGCATAAAGTATAAAACTTTGTTTTTCATTCTTCTAATTGCCACTATAAAATCAATCCTTTCACAACCAAGTGAAGCATATTACTATTTCTGCATAATAATCATTAAACGTTTTTAAATCTAAATAAAAACCTCTACATAACTAAACATACTTTGCAATGTACCCTGACTATTCACCTACAAGTTAGAAAAAACAGATTCTGTGATTCAACTTTCATTGATATTTTCCTTGTGGACTTGTTCATTTCAGAAAATTTTTATTCCATAAAGAGGTTTGTATTCAACATTAAGGCCAATTTTTATAACTTTCTACAACCATGTTATTTGTTTTTATTCTATTTTTATTCCAACAAACATATTATTTCTGTATATCAAATACATTCATACATCTAACATGCTAGCCAAGTCTGTTGAAAAAATTTGGCAATAAAATATTTTAATGTAATTAAAACTAGTACAAATAGAGTTCTCTTGTCTTAGTTATAAGAATTACATTCATACTCCTTTTAGAAATTTCAGTACAGTTGTTTAAAATAAAACATGCTAGTCCCTAAACCCATGCTAAGGCAAAGGCCACCTTAAGTCTCCAGTAGTTTCAACTTACCAGTGACAATTTATGTAAAGCAAAAAACAGTTGCTAAAGTTTTTGTTTCAACAAAACAAAAAGCAGGTAAACCATAAAACTACTCTTTTCCATTTACTTAGCATACAGACAAAAACATAATATATTTGATTATTTGTAGGCATGTGATCAAAAAAGGATTCTGCATAATAACCATAAATTTAAATATTTACAATCCCCATAAGCATGAAAAAGCTTTAAGACAAAGAGACTACATGATAGAATATAATCAACTTTAAAAATAAATATTACATTATTGCATATACAGGGTGTCCCAGAAGTCTCAACCCACAGTAAAAATACACAATTCATTCTTCATTTATTTATTATTCAAATTGCATGCTATTAACAGCCATACACATATCAAATCTTGGTATACTGTGCCATCAGGGTATTTTCTTTCCTGAAATATGTACCACTGACATTAGAAATGTTTGTTTAGCTCTAAAAATGTCTATTTTCCCTATGGATACAGACTTTTGGGACACCCTGTAGATTGATTATTTATATAAGACATGAATAATATATATATATATATATATATATATTGTGTATTTCTATATGCAGCCAGTAAGTTTATATATTTCTATTCTCTAAATAAAATAAAATTTCAAACACAAACATTTCAGTTACAGCTTTACTTTGTGATTTGAGTGGATAATTCAGACATAACTTTTACAAGTTACAACAAATAAATATTGGGGTGGAAAGGGTTAAAAGAAAATCACTACTAAAATTATCTTGTTTATTTACAAAAATATCTTTTAAAAATTTCTAGCTCATCATTTCACATACTATGGTTACAAATTTTAAACTTTAATTTTACTGTGGAATAAACATTTATCATTCATATAAAACCTGAAATATATACACATTATTTTTTCTATACCTTCTGTTTTGTATAAAAGTAGACATTTGTTGACATCAAAATAAATATTTTCTTGAGTTGTATCAAATACAATTCTTAAATATTGTTGTGCACAAAATCATCTTGAAAACAGAAGAAAATATACAAAAAATTATAATGTCTGAAAAAGTAAACTACAAACTATTTAAAAAATACCTCTCATATAACAAAACAATTGCAGGGTAAAACTATTATACAAATCTGTCTCTATCATGTTTAGGTGTTAAAAATCAAACTCTCTCTTCACATTTGTCACCAAGATTAAAATTAAAATAATTCTCTCAAAAGTGTTGGTTGTAAAACTATAATCCATCATATATATAAAATTCAAATTATGTTTCACTTCTCAGTAACAGAACATAATACACTGTTTATCAAAACAATCTTTACCTTTTCAATACAATTACTTGAAATAAATATCACAATAGTACCATTAAACATTTATAATATAAAGTCAGCCTAATTTTTAGATGTCAACTTACCAACATAATATTAATGAAGAAAGTTAGCAGATCATGTGACATATCACTACCTTTTGGTTGTGGAAAATTGTCTCTCAAATGCTGAAATGCCCAAGCAGCACACTGGAAGTGTGTGCAGGCTATCTTCATACCCTTCAAAGAACATCAACACCTATATTTACCACTAACATTTTCTGATTTATAGTTATCTTAACATAGAGCTATAATTTCATGTGAAGTTAAAGTGAATACTTTTAAAATTCAAACATGTTAGTTATTCAAATATAAATGAACAACTTATTACATAAAAACCCAAATGTTGAAAAATATTAGTCACATTTGTATAATTTGTAAGATTTTTATTTCTTTTGCCATCTATTTTGTATTACTTAACTTTGGGTAAAATACAATACTCATCTCTTTCACAATATGAACTGTTTGAAAGTGATACATTGTTATATTTTAGAAAAATCATGCTATAATAGTTCCAAACCTTAAGTAACCCACTCACACTCAAAAAGTTTTTAACTGAAAAACATCAACTCTAAAAATGCACTATTATACCATTAGTAAGACAAAAACTTTAGGTGCTGTTCAGTTTGAATTAATATCAAAGTAACAAAAACACCACATTTTCAAAATTTCATTACAATTACAAACCAAAAATCCTTTGTTATAAATGTATAAATACCTCTGCATTATGTCTGCTGTCCATCGCTCCAAGTTCAGAGTGAAGAGCTCCAATATTATATAATATACATGCCTGTTCATACTTAATGTCTGTTATACTGAATACCAGACCCGAAAAAATGTCACTCCTGCAAGTGGGATAAAAATATTCTTTCAAAAATCCTTATTTTTGTAGTGCTCATTAAATGAAACAAATTACTGGAAACATTAAAAAAAAGCCCACCAAAAAAAAGAAAAAGATTGCCTATTCCTGGCAACTTGGCCAACACTGTTGATTGCACTGTAAGTCCCCACATTATTAATCTGTTTTCCCTAACATAGCAGCATAAAGGCTACGAAGTGAAACAGTTTCGAAATTATAAAAACTGAAAACTTTCTGTTGAAATACAGTGATCTCAGCTTATAAAAACAATTGACATAACTGACCAAGAAATTTGCTTGATTCAATTTGTTGAATACACTTAATTCACTGACTCATGTAATTCAATGCAAAAATGTAGACTCTTCAACCTGTTGAATGCAAGAGTACTTTTAGTTGTTACAAAATTCAGTTACATTTTTACATTTTATGCACTGTATAATCTTGAAGCAGTTTCTGATTTAACAAAAAGGGTAGGTTTCTTCATGACATTTATGAAGTTTATGAATGTTTCATCATTTAAATATTTTCTTGTACATGCTGCTTTGGTTTTGAAAAAACTACTTATATTAGTTTAAGAATTGTATAGAACAAGGTCATTAATACAAACACTGAATATATAAAGAAAACATTGCTTCATAAATCTGACTTTGGAACACACACATAGAAGCACTTAAAGCTAGTTGCAGAACTGATTCAAACATACTCGTCTCTCTCCCAGGACAGCAACACTGCATATTTTGTTGCTTTTGAAAAAAATCTAATATTGAACATTTCATTATATACTATATGTATACATAAAAACTTATGATTCATTAAATTAACATCATTAGTTCTGTTTTTCAGATATATCTGGAGCCCAAAATAAGTAGCTCGCTCTGTGTTAGAGAAATTTGATTACATCAGGAAGGTATTTAATTGTTTTTTTAATTCTGATATACAAGCTAGCTCTTAAGTATGTCTGACAACCATAAGCATCCAAAATAAATGTACACATGCATTTAGTGCTCAGCATATGAATTAAACTCATGGACAGAAGTTCAAATATGGACCAAAGGAAGAAGAAGACACAGTAAAGGGTGAGGAAGACACGGGTTCTTGTAAATGAGGAGAATATATATTAAAGAGAGAACATAACATTTTATATGAATGATTTGTATATGCTAATGCAGTGTTGGTGAGTCACTATAGATGAAGGCTATGATACACAGGTGACACATTTAGTACCTATATATTTGGTTCAAGAAAAATTCTCAATTGTTCGACATAGCAATACAGCCATTGATAGACTTATAAATGCAGGAATATGTTACATCTCTCTCAGGGAAGAGATATGCACATTGCAAAGCTATTAAAGTAGCACTATTACCACACTATTTTGAAAAAAGTAGTTTTCAACGTTCTCCATGGAAGTGGAAAATCTCGCACACCATTGTGTTTAAAACAGCAAAGGGCTCCAAAACCATATCATAAGCCAATATAAATTAAAACCTCAACTGTAAGATGAGAGCTATGGTTAGGAAAAAGAAGTATCCAACCCATAAACAAAAACACTACAATGAATTGCACATTTATGCCAATATAATTAACATGATAATAAACAAGATTTTAAGGATATGAAGCCTCATTTACCAAAAGTTCTCAAGCTTCAAATTACATCTCAAAATCTACATCTGTTTTCATGAGAAACACAAATCCACGTCACTACATATTTGTCAAATCCTTCAATGTAGCTCCAATGGTCTTTTATACCATTTATCTTTTAAACATGACATTCAAAGCTGACATCCACATACAGTGGAAGATCTATGGTACATTTTTCAAGTAGTAGCCTATGACTGATTTCACAATGCTTCTCAAAAGCTTGTTACAACGGAAGCTGCAGGGATTAGAAATTGTTTGTAAAATTATGGCCATCAGTTTTAAGAAACAGTTACAAGAGCAGCACAGGACATAGAACATTATTCTTATAAAGTGGAATTAACCTTCAGTAGTCCAGAGCAAGTAAAGAAGATTTGACTGAAACAGGTAATTAAACTTGAGGGAGCGACCATCTCCTACCAGGCACAACCACAAGTGGCAGATAATGAAATAGCCTCTAGGTAATGAGATCAGCTGCAAATAATCATTAACCAGACATGGACCAACTGGCAGTTATCATGGGGAGAAAGATGGGATATCTGTTGTTCCAGATATTCTTTCAAATGCCTCATAAGCCCACAAAAGGGACAATAATGGTTGGGATGGTGGAAACTGGGGAACATCTAGGTGCAAGTGATCATTGCTCTATTAGGTTCAATGTTTTGCTACACATGGCAATCAAAAATAATGATATTTTGGTTACAAGTTTCAAAAAGCAAATTTGAAGGGATGTGACAAGAATTATCTGTTGTGAATTGGGCAGCTAAATTATTTGGAAACGCTGATCAAATATGGAAAATATAAAAAAATACTACTGACCAATACTAAATACAACCTCTACTAAAATGGCAGTTACTATAATAAGCACCCTTCATGTTCATATTGTAAAATCCAGAGAATAACGTTTTGTCAGGTGCTTTGCTTATCATCCTATGATTTGTCAAACATGAAATACAGTGATTGGAATAACATGGTACTGAAATTGACACCTTCGACTAGGATTGGCTAAAACTTTTACTACTGAGGTTTAACATGACCAGACATTGTTTTACAAAGAAAACAGACTAGAAAAAGGTTTAGATACCAATCATAGATGGCAGGAGCAGTGCTAAAGTGCAAGGAAAAAATTTTTTTAAAAGTTAAAAAAAGGTTTTTTCTTAGAGGGTGCTTATATATTGTCTGAAACATATTTTTGGATTTTTTTTTATTAAACTTCTCTTCCAACTTTATTAATGAATAGAATTTAGTACAACTAATTGAATGCTATGCTACTATTTACAAAAATAAAATCTGAAATCCAATAAAAGATAAGCTCTCCAGAATTTTTTTCAATTCACAAATGTGATTTTGCCCACACGATAAGACAAAATGGTCATGGTAGGTAAGGAGTTAAACGATTCCTTATACAAGCAGTGCATCAAAAAATGCCAAAGTTATATTATACTCCTACATTTAAGTCATTATTCATCGATATATGATGAGATCACCACAATAATGCAAAATTCAACTCAAAGAAAACTGAAAGTGTATGTTGTGAGTCACCTTGGATCCGACCAGACCCCAACACAAATGTATCCTTATAGTAGACTATGGATTAAAAATCCAATAAGCAGGTTATTTACAACAATTATCAAACAAGGTTTCAATAAAATAAGGCATTATAAGCAGTCATCACAGAGAACATTTGTTGAGGAATGAGATGTGCATACATGCTTACCACAATGATGTTATAAGCAAACAGACATGATACTGTATTACTTTGACGAATTATCCTATACAACTTATATAATGAAATAAATGTTTAGAAATTTATTTTGTATGCTATAGGAAAAACTGCACATATAATGATGGTCAGTGTCAATATGGGGTCTGCATGGACCCAGATAAATATTAGATTGGAGCAAATGATACTATTGTTTTTGAAACAGGCAGATGGAGTATGTAGCTATAGAGTTTCTGCTTGACAATTATATGAATGGTTATAAATTTGTAATAATTATGTAAGAAAAAAACAGGATATACAACCAAGAAAGTAGTTGGGTTTCATTTGGACCCTAGATGTGTTAATGAGGGTTAAATACATTAAGGGTAAACAAAATGTTCGGATGGCATCGGACCTTTGAGAGATGATAAAAGAAGGCTCACATCTGATGATTATGAGATGGCTAAGGTTATTAGATACTGCTTTTTCTTCAGTTTTTACTAACAAAGATTTAAGCAATATTCCTCATCTTGAACAGTTGATATATGAAAATCAGATTAAACAAGATGATCACATTAATTCTGTTAAGAAAAAATTAGGAAGTTTAAAGAATGATAAGACTTCTGGGCCAGATAATATTCCCCAAGGGTTTTGAAAGAGGTTAAGGATCAGATATGTTAAACCACTTGCTATTATTTGGTTTTGTAAGTCCTTGATTAGTATGCAGGTGCCAGATTATTGGAAGTTTGGTAATGCTGCTCCTCTTATTCAAAGGAGGTGATAAAAAATTGTCCTATTAGTTTTAGAAAATCCAATAAAAGATGCTTTACAAAATAATTTAACAAAGCTTAGAAATTTATTGGACAGTCAATATAGTTTCACTAAGGGAAAATCTTTTGAGATTCTTTGAAAAGGTTACTGCTTAGGTAGATGAGGGTAAGGGTGTAGATTTGGTGTATCTAGATTTTTAGAAAGCATTTGACAAGGTACCACATAAAAGGCTTGTACAAAAACTTATCTCAGCAGGTGTGGGGGATAAGTTTGCTAACCTGATAGAAGAGTGGCTGAATGGAAGAAAGCAGAGGATTCTTATAAATGGAGTACAGTCAAATTGGATTAATGTTGCAAGTGGGGTACCTCAGCATTCAGACTTAAGACCTTTGCTCTTTTTGATATACATCAATGAAGAAATGGTCAATAAAATTATTTAAATTTGCTGATGAAATTAGGGTCTTGGGTGTTGCTGGCTGTTTCAATGCTGCTGCAGTACAAAAGGATTTAAATCATTTAGTAAGTTGGGCAAATAAATGGCAGATGGGTTTTAATTATACTAAATGTAAGATAATGCATGTGGGTTATCATAATTTGAATTATAAATATAACTTGGATGGGAATAACTTTAACAGTATTATTAAAGAAAGGGATCTTGGTGTAGTGGTTGATTAGTCTAAAGCCATCCAAGCAAAGTGCTGTTGCTAGTGGTAAGGCAAATAAGATTTTAGGTTGTATCTACAGAAATATTGAACACAAATCTAAAGAGGTTATAATTTATTTGTATAGGCCAGTGGCTAGGCCAGATTTGGAGTATTGTGTTCAGTCTTAGGTTCCTTATCTTAGGAAGGACATTGAGTTGTTGGAAAATAGTT